TAGCAATCAAATAAACATCAATAGAGTATTCCAGGGCAGTTTTATTTTCCAAACAGTATTTGATTCAGTTCAGTTATTAAAGATGAAATACAGATGTTTTTTTAGGGAAATTGTAGAAACACATTTCAACTCCCAAACAACTCTGCTACAGAGTCAGGGTAGACAAGGGATATTGAAACAAGAAACAGCAGAATTACACTATACATCAGCATCATGACTCTGTCCAGCCGCTGTAAAGAAAAACATGGGGATCTGACTGTACTTTACTTCACTTATTCACAGAAACAAAAGAATTCCTTCCCAGAATATGTAGAGGAAGATCACTGGAAATATAGTTATTTATATAAACATCAGTGGAGAATCATTATATACAGTTGTGGGTACATAAATACACTTATAGCTTACTCAATGTGTTCGTGCCAAAAACTTGAAGACATCTTCCCCTCCTTAGTGTCCCACCTAAAATCTACACACAGATTTGTCCAATTCCCTTTATGCAGAGCTGGGGGTTGATCCACTGCTTGGAGAATGTTATGTATGCACCCTACCACTGAGCTATACCCCAGCCACTGTTGGATTTTTAATTGTATTCAATATTAAATTGAATACATTTAGAAAACTATTAAAGAAGGCTTACATCTCTTCCGTATACATATTTCTGGTTAAACAGAAGAAATGCTGTCCCCTTTCTGCTAGATTTTGGCTCTAGCTCAGTTCCTTGTTGTGTTGGGGACCAACAAGAGAGAGAATACAATGCCTTGTTTAAGTGAAAGTTTGAGTCCTGTTTATATTAAACCTTTCCCTCTGAGATAATTGTAGTTTCTGAGATAGTTGTAGGTATTTAGAGATTAAATGCAGTTTTAAGAAATAATATCAAAAATTGCTCCGAAGCTTTTAACCCAGTTTCCCTTGAAGGTAATATCTTACTAAACTATAGTACGATTTCACAACCAGGATTTGGTCAAGATACTGAGCATTTCCATCACCACAGGTTCTTTTGTGTTAACTTTGCACAGTTTCAACCACCTCGGTTGTTCTCTACCTTCCTCCCTGGCAACCCCTAATCTAGCCTTCATTCCTATAATTTTGCACTTCAAAATGTTCCATGAATGGAATCACACAGTGTATAAACTGTTAAGATTGGCTTTTCTCTTTCAGCATAATTCTCTGGAGATTCATCCAAGTTGCTGCCTGTTTTGGTAATTAGCTCCTTTTTATTGTTGAATAGTTTTCCATGCAATGGATGTATCACAATTTGTTTTAACAGCCACCAGATTAAATGACAGCTGGTTATTTCCAGTTCTTTAATATTATGAATAATCCATGTGCAAGTTATTCTATGAAAATCAGTATTCATTTCTCTGGCATAAATGCCTCGGTGTGCAATTGCTGGTTGGCATGGCCATTACACATCTAGTCAGGAAACAGCCACATGGTTTCCCAGAGTGGTTATTCTATTTTCCATTCCCAGCAGCAGTGGATGACTGATCCAGTTTCCTGGCAGGTATGCTTGCCAACGTTTGATGTTCTCATTACCTTTTATTTTGGCAGACTTGGTAGGTGCGTAGTGATACCTCATTGTGGTTTTAGTTTGTTGTTCCCTAATGACTAATGATGTTGAATATCATCTCATGTGTTTATTTGCCATTTGTAGATCCTCTGCAGTGAAATGGTCCATCATAATCATTTTCTAATTGGAGTTTTAAAAAAGCTCTTGCGTTTTGAGAGTTCTTTACGTATTCTAGGTACTAGTCTTTTGTCAGATATGTGGTTTGCAGATATTTGCTCTCAGTATATAGCCTGCCTTCCGTCTTCTTAACATGGTCTTTTGCAGAACAAATCTTTTAAATTTTGATAAGGTCTAATTTATCGAATTTTCCTTTTATAGATTTTGGTGTCAGGTCAAAAAACCCTTTGCTTAGCCATTGATTCAAAAGACTTTATATTTCTTTCTATAGTTTTATAGTTTCACATTTTATATTTACAGATACGATCTCTTTTGAGTTAATGTTTGTAGAAGGTATGAAATTTAGTCCAAGGTTCATTTTATTTTCTCATGGATTTCCTGTTGCTCCGGTATATTTACTGAAAAGATTATCCTCCTTATGTTGAATTAATTCTGTATCTTTATTAAAAATTAGTTCAGCATATTTGTGTGGTACTATTTCTAGATTCACTGTTCTGTTCTATTCACCTATATGTTTAAGCCTCTACCAATCACACGCCATCTTAAGTACTATTGCTCTGTAATAAATTTTTCCATTGGATAGAGTGATTTCTCCTACTTTGTTCTTTTACAAGATTGTTTCAGCTATCTCAAAGCCTGAAAACTTTTAGAAAAAGTTTGCATATGTCTACAAAAACCTTTCTGGGGTTTTGATAATAATTACATTAAACCAAGAGATCAGTTTGGGAGAGTTGGCATCTTTACTATTTTGTGTCTTCAAATCCATGAATATATTTATATATATGTCTGACCCACAGACAGATAGTCCTCCACCCTCACCCTGTACACAGTTTTGAGGCTGTGTGGTGCATATTCAACCCCTTTGTGGTTGCAAAAAGTTTTGATCCAAGACACTTCACTTATTTAAGTCATTGATATCTTTCAGCATTCAAATTCTGTACATGTTTTGTTAAGTTTATACCAAGTATAATTTAATTTTCTTTGAAGTGGCAGCAAGTGGTATTGTGATTATAGTTTTGATTTCCACATGTTCATGTGCTGATCTTGTATCCTTGGACCTTACTTCACTCACTAGTCCCAGGTGGGGTTTTTTTTATTGTTATTATTTAAGAAGTAGATCATTTGGAATTTTCTATGTAAACAATCATGTCATCTGTAAATAGGAATACTTTTAATTTTTTTTAACCAATCCATATTCATTTTATTTTATTTTCCTTGCCTTACTATGTCTAAAACTTCCAGTGTAGTCTTTTTTTCCTTTTCAGTGCTGGAGACTGAACCCAGGACTTCACATGTACTAGGCAAGCACTCTTCATTGAACTACCTTCAGCTCCCCAATATAGTCTTAAAATTTTTAATCAGCATACATTTTTTGAGATTTTTCTGAAACATAATTCCCTGAATGGAGCCCATCCAACTCAAACTTGTGAATTTTCAAGATTATTCTGATTGTTCAGATGTTGTTTTGTGCAATTTGGATAAATACCTGACAACCTTTACCCGTGGTTATAAATGGAACCCATCCTGAAAAACCCTCTGAAACATCAGGGACCCTGAATGAGCCAAATGGAACTGAATATCAAAGCAAATCTAACGTAGGTATATTATCTCGAGACTGGACAGGGAGGGAGTGATGTTCCAAGAATTAAGGTTTGAGGTTAACTTATGGAGTACTTTTGAGTACGTGGCTTGTTCTTCCAGTTTCTCTCCCCAATCTTTCCTTAAAATTAGGGTAGCAGTAACTTTAAACTCTGAAAATATGAAATACCCTGAAAAAAACATCTTATTTTTATATTCCATTGCTAGGAACTCTTTTGAGAATTGGCTTATGACAAAAAAGAATCCTGTGCGTGTTACTATGTTTTTAGTAACAGGCACTTAAAATATATTTTTGACAACTCAAACCTTCATGTCTTATTTTGTTAAGCAAAAGCAAAAACCACTAATAACATTTTCTTTAAGAATTTTCTATACATAATGATGGTTGTTATGTTATAGAGCATACCAAACCCATCGAAGAGAGTCATAATTATTATAGAAAAATAGAAAACTTGGATTGTACCAGATTCTTTATAGATTTCAATTGTAAGAGATCTTAGGTGTGTACACATCGGTCCATGCAGGATGTGTACTCAAATTTCAGAGACCCCTCCCTTTTTCTTTTTTTTTAAATCCTGAAAGCAGTGACAAATCATCTCCAGACAAATCAGTCACTGTCTTTCATACTCCCTTTAAGGATTTTCAGCGACTAAGCATTTTAGTAACTCTGTTCTTAAAATCAAAAGCACTCATCCATTCTGTGCAGGGAGTTCAGGAGTCTGACCTTGAATATTGACTTGGCCATGCAGAGCCTCAGTTTCCTTGTCTGGAAGTGACAATGAGGACATACCCTCATTGGTTATAGGGCCTAAATGAGATGACCTCTGGAAAGCACCCTCAGTTAGTGATCTCTTACATCCTCCTTTCAGGCTCTGTCTTTGCTTGCTTCACAGCCTCACTCTTCTCCCTTTTCCTCTCTACAATCCATGGCATGAGGTGCTTCTTATTTTGGATGCCACTCCTCATGCATGCGAGTGGGGAATTCTCTATAAAAAAAATGTGAGCAGTTGGGATCTAAGAAGCTTGAGGCCAAATCTACCCCATTCTTTTTGGTGTTCTACCAACATCTGCTTCTACAGAATAGGCCTGTGCTGCAAACTCTGCCCGTTCTTACATTGCTGATCACATTAGAGGGGGGAGGAGTCCATAAGTGACCATAAGTGACATTGGTTACAATCTAGCCAATGTGACTCAATGATGTATTTGCAATCCAGGAGCATGATGAGTGACCCACAGACAGATAGTCCTCCACCCTCACCCTGTACACAGTTTTGAGGCTGTGTGGTGCATATTCAACCCCTTTGTGGTTGCAATAAGTTTTGATCCAAGACACTGCGTTTGGCACAGAAAACAACAAAAACAGTCTCACAATACAGAGCAATCATATTGTACACACAGGCATAATTTTTTTTTCCTAAAGAATGGACCAGTAAAGGTCTCAGTGTGCCGTTTTGACAACCAAGAGGTGAGTCTGGATTGAACGCAATGTAAACGAAGACGATCTCTGTGAAGTACCTGTGAAAGTGGAGGATCTTCAAATGACCCCTTGAGTCTCAAGTCACGCGCAAGGCTCCCTCTTCATCCTCTCGTTCTGCTGTAGGTGACAGGGCACCATGAAGCCTTCAACAAAGAGACAGCGTTCAAGAGCTGTCCGGTTACATCACGTAAAAGGTTTTCACTATAATGCAAACAGCAGGGACTTTCTTCCATTGCATCAGGCCTTTCTAGGAACCGCTTTGAAATATTCCTCCTTTGAAATGTCAGATACACCTCCATACCATTTCTGAAGCCAAATATATTCTATTCTCATCTTCATGAAGAACCATTCATACTGACGGGGCCACTTCCTCATCCCTGGGTGCCTGAAGGAACAAAGAGAGATCACAGTAAAGTTGTTCTTATCAAAGGGGTGCACCCTGGGCCAGGTTACGGACCTTCAGACTCCTAGCCTTATTTAGGCTGAGAGCTGCTCAACTCAGCCAGAGGCAGAAGCTGAGGAGCTGGGTATGAGGGCCTGGGACAGCTTTGGGAAGGCAGGAAGCTCACAGTCCCTACACTGAATGGCAAAAATCTCACATCTCGAGCCAGGCTCCTTGATTTGACCAAGTTCAACTGCTGATGAGCTGCAAAGCCTTGTGGGCCCTCAGTGCTCACAAGCCCCAGTACCCTTACCTGTCATCTGGGTGAGCCTGATGGTGCTTGGGTCAGGAAGGCATGTGGGGAGCAAATAAGGAGGCACACATAAAACACCTGCAGTGGATGTCGGTGATTGTTAGTAGGAAACATCGAGAAAGGCTTCATGATTCTCTGTGTGAAATGTTAACAAAACGGGGAACCCACGAAACACGTCTGCTCATGGAAAGGTTTCTGTTCCTGTAGCAAGCTCAGGACTGTTGATCCAGGCTGAGAACCAATCACAGTGGACAGGAAACATTCCAGTTCACCTTCTGTTATTGACCGACTTGCCTTCTCCCCCCACGGGCACCCCTGCACACATTGTAATAACCTTGAGGGTAGAAGTTGTGGCTCACTAATCTTTTTAACGTCATAAAAATGTCCTTTAGAACTAAAAATGTTATAAACATAATTCAAAGACCAAGTCCAAACAGGGAAAAACATCTGTAACCAAGTAAATGCCAAGAGAGGACATGGGACCATGTTTGTTGCATTAACTTGATTAGGCAGGTTCCGTTATTTTCATTGTAGGGCAGGATATTACCAAAGGATGAAAATTGGTAGCAATTGTGCCTGGAACACTTCAATGTGGGGTGTTTTCCAAAGGTAGTGTCAGCCCACCTTGGGCCACCTGTCTGGCCTCCATGGCCTCTAGTGCTCCTGCTAGTGATCATGGTGGCCAGCACAAAGTTGGCCACATTGCCACTGAAAGGCACTCAGACCAACCACTGTCATTGTATCCATCCGAGGCATCCAATGGCACAACCATGAAAGCTATGTTTTATTATCGTATATTTCTGGGCCAACCAATTTTAGAGCATCTACACACCTTGAAAACATGGCCTGCTTGGCAAATTCTACTTCTTCTAGAGATACTGAAGTCATCTGGCCAGTGAGCGTTAATCGGACACATCGGGAATCTTCTGGGTCCACGATGTTTTTCCTGCAGGTAAAGAATGTTTTTTTCACATATTAAAACAATGACAGAGCCGCACGCAGTGGCACATGCCTATAATCTCTATGGCTTGAGAGTCTGAATCTATAAGTTCAAAGCCAGCCTCAGCAAAAAGGAGGTGCTAAGCAACTCAGTGAGACCCTGTCTCTAGATAAAATAGGGTGAGGATGTGGCTCAGTGGTCAAGTGCCCCTGAGTTCAAACCCTGCTACCAAACCATATAAATACAAATAAAATAACAATGACAAAACATCAGTCTGAAACACTAGGGATTTTGTGAAAAATTTAAAGTGCTCGTCATATTCTGAATATCTCATTCACACTTTTACTATTTACTATAATTATCTTAAAATACTTTAGCATGGGCAGTATGATAGGTGTGCTTTCATAAGTTGAGGGTTACAGTTGAGAGGCTATTAGAAGTTTCTGAAGTCAAGGATGCATGTGCCAGGAGAAATGGGAATTTGTTACCAAAAGATGACATTTCAGTTACTGCTGTAATTTGTATCTGGAATGTCCCCTAAAGGCCCGTGTAATGAAGCCTTAGACCCCAACTTGGCACTGGTGGGAGGTCATGGAAACAGGAAGAGCTGAGGCTTACTGAGAGGTCTTCTAGGCGCTAGTAATATGCCCTTGAAGGGGATGGTGGGGCCTTAGTCCCTCTTTTTTTTTTTCTGTTTTCCTTGTAGCCAAGAGGTGATCAGTTTTACTATGCTACATGCTTCCCACCATGACGTGCTGCTCTACCGCAGGACCAAAAGCAATTGGGCCAACTGACCATGGACCAAGCCTCTGAAAACTGTGAGCCCAAAAAACCTTCTCTATAAGTTGATCATCTCAGGTATTTTGTTGCAGTAACAGAAAGCTAAGTAACACAGTTACCTTAGAGGAATAAGTTCTAGGATCTTCTGTACAACATCATACCTAGAATTAACAAAACAATATTGTCCCCCCTCCCTTTTTTTTGTATTTGTGCTACAAAACCGAAACAAAACAAAGGGACACAAGAAAATTTTGGGAGGTGTTGAATGTGTCTATTCCTGGTATTTGCATATGTCTAAATTCATCAAATTGAACACTACAAGTATGTTCAATTCTTTAAATTAATTATACCTCAATAAAACTTTTTAAAAATACACACAACATGCCTACTATCTGCAAGACCCACTAAGGAGTCAGTTTCTGCAATAAGGCTGCCGTCCTGCCCAACTCTTCTCAGTTTGCAGATGACCATCTCTGTCTGTGTCTTTACTTGATCCTCCCTCTGTGCATGTCTGTGTCCTAATTTCCTCTTCTCATAAGGACAGCAGCCATATGGGACCATTCTAAAGATGACATCTTAACTTAGTTACCCCTTTTAGTATTCTGTCTCCAAATAATCACATCCTGGGGTTCCAGAGGGTCCTCAACATGTGAATTTGGGGGTGGGACAATTAATTCCATTACAGCAATATAACTTTTTTTATTCAAATGTTTTTGGTTTGACTATGATTTGGGAAGTTAACTGTGTGTGCAGTGATTGATGAAAAATGTACTAAGGGAAGCACTCAGGTTCAAACTCTAGACATTCGTGAAGCTCAATGAAAAAAAGCCTTAACTAAACACAAAACAAATACTAGATTTAATACCTTTCTTTTTTAGATTTTTTTTTAGTTTTTTTTTTTTTTTAAGGTGGACACAACATCTTTATTTTATTTTTATGTGGTGTTGAGGATCGAACCCAGCGCCCCGCGCATGCTAGGCAAGTGTGCTACCGCTTGAGCCACATCCCCAGCCCCTCTTTTTTAGATTTTTAAAATTTTTTTTCTATTAAATTTTAAAGTATTTTAAGCTCATAAGAAAGTATGAAGAATAAAATAATAAAAAGTGATGTTCCTGTTGGGGCTCAGAAAAAGATACCTGAAAGTGAGAGGGCAGTTTCCTCCCTGATCCTCTCCTGCCCTCCTGTGGTGATCTGCATGGCTGTTAATTCAGAAGACTGTGAGGGGTGATGGGGAATTAAGAAAAACACATAAACACTTAGAAAGGTGAGATCAGGTGGTACCATCCTCTGGTGGAGGAACAGTGACCCAGAGCTGGCTCTACACATTTATTATATAGGCTTTATCACCAAAAGGCTATTTGTGGGCTGGGATGTAGCTCAGTGGCAAAGCGTCTGCCTTACATTCACAAAGCCCTGGGTTTGACCCCCAGTTCCAAAAAAGACCAAAAAAACAAAACAAAACAAAACAAACAAAAAAAAACCCCACCCACCCCCCAAAAAAATAAGATTAAAAAAAAAAGGCTATTTGTGAGGAATTCTTCTAGAAAGCAGGCAGACTTGAAGTTCAGAGCACACAGTGTGGTTATCTTCTGAAGTTCAGAATCTTTTATTCCTAGGAGACAGTGTCTGCGACTTAAGGTTAAAACGGACGTCTCTGGACGTTTGCCTGGAGAGATCAAGGGCCGGCCGGTGTGCCATATAGCAACTGGGGAATGTTAACCCTGTACTTTTGCACAGGGAAACGTTAACCCTATACACTTGTAATCCCAGTGCAATCACACCACAACCACAAAGTAATCAGACACCTTGATTCACATCACCACCTCCTGTTTCTCTCTCCTCCTTCTCCCCCAAGTCAAACCATAGCAACCAGAATTCCTTATCCTCAAGGCAGGTCATAGAAACCAGAACCCCTTTTCCCCAAAGCTGACCATGGAACCTAAAAAGAGTACTCAAATTTTCCCCTGCCTTTCTGTACAAGAGCTGCCTGTAAAGCAATTCTGTGACCTACCTTGTGTGAGAGTAGGTCATGAGACTCTCCAGTTTGGAAGGGGTTCTGCCCTTTACCTGGGAGGAAGGAAGGCTGCAGAGGGTTGGGGAAAGTTTGAATAGGCAGGTCTCGCTGGGTTCCCCACTCTATTTCCATTAGCTTTTTATTCAGTTTCTACCTGACTGTCCAGACTTCGTCCATCAGCCTAAGCATAAAAATGGGCAGTTCACCTCAATCTGAAGTCTCCATGCCACGTAAAACTATGATTAAATAAATTACTTACGCTTTCCTCTTTTTGACCTGTTATCACAGGGATGTGTGTCACCAAAACTCTTAATTATTTTTGTATTTGGTGGTACTAAGGATTGAACCTAGGAGCTCCACACCACTGAGCTATATAACCAGCCCTTTACATTTTTAAATTTTGAGACAGAATTTTACTAAATTGCCCAGGCTGGCCTCCAACGTGCGATCCTCCTGCCTTAGCCTCCCAAGTAGCCAAGATTATAGGAGTGCACCACAATATCTAGCACAATTACCCTTTATGCTGGATAGAAAAGGGATCACCCTTTTCCTTCTCTACATACTGTAAACAAAGAAATAATGAGTGAGGTTAAAATGAGCAAAGGCACCCAAACCAGTGTTTTGCAGAGGTAAAGTGAGCTTGGGTTTTTAACAAGTCCCACAATTTGACAACCAACACAAATAAGGGTAGTGGTAAGTTTTGGAAGCCCACTGGAGTGTCCAAGTCAGGAAGCAAAACTGATCACTCCAGTATTCCCAAAACCTTGCAAGATGTAGTTAGATTCCAGAAAAATGTTCACTTTGGTGGATTTAGTTCTTGACATGATCTCTGCATGACAACCTTCCTCCTGTTAGTGAATCTCAGACTTGGAGAAGACTTTGCTTTCTCTTCTTTTAGGTCCTTCTGCAGCCATTTGGACTTATTTTGTCAATATCTATCACACAACTTTGTCAAATCTCAATATTTTGTAACTTTTGCCCCAGATCCTTCTTTAAAGAATAAAGGACAACATATACAATTGAAATTCCCCACAATTCACCCAGATACCCTTCTCTTTCTTCCTTCTTTATTACCTTAAACTTGGTGTTTTTTTTTTTACACTCACGCATGCTTTTATAACTGTGGATGCACCACAAGCAACATCTTGTTGCTTTGCATATTTAACCCTTAACATACATACATCACATGATACCTGTTCTGCTGCAACTTCCATGTTGGTTTACCAGCATTAAGTTGCTATTCTGTCTGCCTTACTCTTCATTTTATTTCTCAATTGGCAAACTATAGCCTCTGGGCCAAATTGGACTATCACCTGTTTTGTTCAGATTGAGAGGTAAGAATGGATTTTACATTTTTAAAAGGTTGGGGAAAAAACATCAAAAGAAGAATACTTTATGACAGATGAGAGTTACAAGAAGTTCACCTTTTGGTATGCTGAAATGAAGTTTTATCGGACCACACACGTTTGCTTCCATATTGTGTATGGTCATGATACAGCAGCAGAGTTGAGTTGTTTTGACAGAAACTGTGTGGCTTATAGCACTTAAAATAAAAATTCTATTTGCTCCTTACAGGAAAAAAAATCACTGCCAACTTCTGTTTTAGGTTGTGGTAAGGAAAGAGGGGGGCATTCCTTGGGCCCCTCCATGAAGATTAAATGCATGCATTCACCTAACGTGTTAGAATAGTGCCTGCTGTGTATTAACCCTGAAAGGATGCTACCACCATTTTGTTGTTCAATTTTTATGTGGGAGTGGCTGGAGGGCCTGGGATTGTGCCCAAATTTGTGGTATGATCAATTATGAAAATATTGAAGACTGGAGGACTCATTTGTGTTCCTTCAAAATTCTAATGTTAGAGAACTAACTTCCCATGTGTCTATATTTGGAGATAGGACCTTTAGTTAGATCTTGCTTTATTTTTTTTCTTTCTGTGGAGCTGATGAAACTGAAGTTTTGAGATGAAACGGGATTCACTGCTTCTGCTGGTGGGTGGGGTCTGCCCAAGCTGCAGACGTCTGCAGTTGGGAGGTGCTGGGGGGTTCTTAAGGGCAGGCCACGCCCTCCAGTGTTGCGGAGACCCCGGCAGCTCATCTTCAGTTTGTTCTTCTTTCTGGGTTCTTGTCTGAAGAATTTGAAGAATGCAATCCACAGATTGGGATGAGTGAGTGTAATGGCAGGATCTATTGAAGACTAGAAATAGAACTCTTGC